ATTATTATTATTGCTACTCCATTGTGTGTGTGTGTGTTCTTGGAGACTCTCTCTGTGTGTGTGTGCACCTGGGCTTGCACTGTGATGATGATGATGAACTGCTTTTTGCAGTGATAGGGAAAAGGAAATAATAATAACAGATGAATTTATATTTATGATTGCGTATATACACACATATAGACTTACACCCATAGTTGGTGTATATTTCTGTGTTTACTGGGCAAATTGGGCTAATAGTTAATATCTTTTTCTTTGCTTGTGGTTTTGCTGTTTTTTTTTTTGCTTTTTCTCCTGCGGCAATGATGATGGTGGGCTTCTTTTTTTGTTTTTACTGTTACTGAGGTTATTACGCTGTATTGCATTCTTTAACTGGTAGGTTTTACTTTCACGATGTAAGTTTCCATAGTGGTAATCGATTTGTGTGTGCTAACATGTTTGATACTTCAGTTATTTTCTTTTCTTTACTTTTTTATTCTCTTTCTTTCTAGGTCAGTGTTTTTACGCAATCCAAACTATTGTGTCTCTCATGATGATGATGATGCGCCGTGTGATGTGTGTGTTGGCCGTTGTGCTGTGCTGTGCTTGCGGGTATACCATGACAGCTGCTGCTACTACTGCTAATACTAATGGACACCCAAAGGCGGCGATGTCGTTTTTGGGAAGTTTTTATCCCGAGATCAATTATAGTGGATCGGCGAAAGAGAAGAAAAGTGAAGAAGCAAAAGCATTAGCAGAGAGTACTTTGGCAGAAGAGGCGCGATCACCTGTGGAGGTACAGGAATCTACTTTACTCACTAATGAAGAGTCTCCTTGTGGTGGTGATGCTGTTGGTTCTTCCAGTACCACATGTCCTTCTGTTCGTCCTCCTGCTCCTCCTGGTGTTTCTCAACCACAAGCAGGCCTTCTTGTTAAAGGAGAACCACCTGCTAATGCTGTTGCTGGTCTTCAAGGTGATCTCAGTAAGGGAGATAAACATCTTGGTGTTAAGCTTCCTAGTGTTAGTGGTACTTCATCTGGGACTGGTTCTCTTGGTTCTCTTGATCCTTCTACCGTTTCTCTTACAGAATCTCAAGGTGGTGGAGGGAATAATGGTCTAGGTGGTCACGGCCAACCATCCACTGTAGATAGGGGTACACTTGGAAGAGATAGTCAAACACTGACAGATTCTTCTGGGGAACTTCCACGTAAAGAGAAAGAAGCGATGCAAGAAAAAGAGATGTCTAACATGGATCCAAAGAGAAGAGAAGGGCCTCATAAGCCCGCAGAAAATCAACCTGGTCGTGGAGACTCCGTTCAAACTCCAAGACAAGATAGTGAACATTCTCTTCCTCCTGCACAAGCTCCTGATGGACCAGTTACTTCTACATCTCCTACGGCTGAGGAGCGTGTTGATGTGCCTACAGCTGAAGGTGGAAGTGGAGCACCACAACCATCTCCTCCCACTTCAGCCACAGGGAGTTCCGATGTTTCTGATGCTATGGCGACTAAGAATAATACTCCATCTGCAGGAACTGGATCAACAGGCACCCAAGAAAGTGATGCAGAAAATACAGAATCAACCACAACAAACTCCACAACACTTCCTCCTGAACTCGCAAATAACAAGAAGGGTGATGCAGACAGCAGCAGCAGTATCAGCAGTTCTGTGTGGGTGCGTGTGCCACTACTGATTGTGGTTACACTGGCCTGTATTCTTGTGTGCTGATTGTAATGGTGGTATGGTGTGACTCAGGTCATCCTTTGTTTTCTTTTCTTTTTTTTGCATTTATCCCTACAGTCTAACTAATCTTTTCACCTGTTGGGAATATCTTCTTTTTTGTTTCTTAATGTTAATGTGTTTTTGCTCTCTATGTTTATCCTATAATTGTTATTATTGCTACTCCATTGTGTGTGTGTGTTCTTGGAGACTCTCTCTGTGTGCGTGCACCTGGGCTTGCACTGTGATAATGATGATGAATTGTTTTTTGTAGTGGGAAAAGAAACGAAATAATAATAATAACAGATGAAGTTATATTTATAATTGCGTATACACACATATAGACTTACACCCATAGTTGGTGATTATTTCTGTGTTTACTGGGGTAAGTTGGGCTAATGGTTAATCTCTGTTTATTTGCTTATGATTTTGCTGGGTGGTTCAACCTTTTTTGAGTTATTTCTGAGTGTGGGCTTTTTTTTTTGTTTTTACTCTTACTACGGTTTTTTCGCTGTATTTCATTCTTTAACTGGTAGGTTTTTCTTTCACGATGTGAGTTTCCATAGTGGTAATCGATGTTTGTGTGTCCTAACGTGTTTGATACTTCATTTATTTTCTTTTCTTTACTTTTTTATTCTCTTTCTTTCTAGGTCAGTGTTTTAACGTGAACCAAACTATTGTCTATCTCATGATGATGATAATGTGCCGTGTGATGTGTGTGTTGGCCGTTGTGCTGTGCTGCACCTGCGGGTATACCATGGCGGCTGCTGCTGCTGTTGATAATGACAGTCCCAGTGGCCGTGGTGTATCCCGTGGGGCTGTGGAGGTGTCGTGCGGGGCCGGCGGTGCGCTGCGTGTACGCCCCGCTGCTGAGAGCGAGTGGCTCACATGCGATGCGGGCAGCCGTGTGTCTGCATGTGGGAAGTACGCAGACCTCTGCAGCCAGCGTAACGCAAGAGCAGCGACAACAACAACTACTACTACTAATGGACAACCAAAGGCGGTGATGGCGTTTTTGGGAAGTTATGACTCTGCTCTTCTTCAAGTTGAGTGGGACAGGAATCAAGAGAAGAAGAAGCAGAAGGAGAAGCTGGAGATGGAAACGGTTTCAACGTCCCTTCAGGATCCTCATCAACTACAAACAGAGACGCATCAGTTGGAAGGAACCGATGGAGACTTGAGGAACCAAAGTGATGAACAAGCTTCTGAGCTCAAGAAGGGGATGACTGAGGAGAACGCACTGGCTCCGCCGCAGGAAATGCCTGACCCCTTACCTTTGTCTACTGTAGTTATAGAAGAGAGACCTTCTGATAAGGCTATAGAACAAACACCTACAGATGCTGCCGCCTTAAAACGCACACAACAAAATGAACCTCACGCACAAACAGCTGGACGTACGAATACAACTGCGGACTCATCTGAAAACCATAATTCCAGCCAAAGCAGCCTACAATCTCAGTCTGAAAATAACGGAGAAAATAGTCCACGCAATGATGATAATTCCAGTAACCATCCTCCTATGGAGGCGGCTGCGACTACAACACAACAACAAAATGAAGAATATAATTCAGCCACAGGTACTACTGTCACAAACACCCTACACGGTACCAATACAACTACTCCGCCGAGCAATGAGAACACTACCACAGAAGCACCAACCACCACTCCATCTCCTGTTCCTGCACCCAACACAGAGATCAGCAGCATTGCCCCCATTGTACAGCAGAAGACTAATGTTGACAGCAGTGTCAGTCCTGTGTGGATGCGCACTGCAGCACCGCTGCTGATTGTGGCTGTGTTGTTCTCCGTTACCATGTACTAAACTGTGGGACTCATCTAAGGGGAAAATAATGGTTAAACTAACATAATCATAATTGCGTACATCCCCCATGGGTGAATAAATTAATAATCTGTTTACCAGCCTTCCCTTTCAATTCGAATTTCTTTTCTTTTGTGTGTGTGTTCTTTTTCTTATTAATTCCATTATTTGCTTTTTCCGTTGTGTGTGTTCAGAAAACTGGGCTGTTCTGCTCACTGACGGTATACATCTCTTGCTAGTACACAGATGTGTGTGTTTACAGTAATTTAATACATAAACTAGAGCCATGGGGTATTGTGTGTGTGTTTGGCTCTCTCTCTTATTTGGGTATTGTGGTGTTATCTTTTTTTTTCTTTTCTATTGTGGGGTACATATTATCAGAAAAGAATGCTATTCCTTCTTGTTGCTTTACTGTAGTTACTGCTTCTCTCTCTATCCCACTGTGTGTATTTGTGCCCTGCATTCACTCACTATGTGTGTCTCTTTTTTTTCTTCTCTTCCTTCTTCTTTCTTGTAGTTTATTGAAGTACACCACAACAATGACAAAGGCTGTAATGGTGAGGTGTTATCTGCTCTGTTTACTAACTCTTGCACTCTGTTGTGCTTGTGGGTTAGTATGGGCTGATAGTCCTAAAGCTTCTGATGCCCTTACTAAAACTTCCACTGTTGGTGTTCCTTCTCTTGTTCGTCGTGCTATTTCTGCGGAGGATGTTGGTGAACAAGGCAGTTGGATTGTGTATGATGAAGATGTTGCTGAGTCTCCACCTTGTGATAATTCGGATTCTCATGGTTGTCGTACAACCATTGATCCTCACAGATCTGGTGGTGAGGACCTTAAACAGAAGAAAGTTGAAAATGAAGAAGAAGTGAAAAGACGTCAAGAACCGGATCAGGCTGACTCAGAACTTGAGATATCACAAGCAAGTCATCTTGTCAAACAACACAGAGGTGCAAATTTAAGCAAACCATTAGGTGCCACTGGAGTAAAGGTACCTGAAGTTTCTCTTGGTTCTTCAGAGTCTTCTCCTGATGAACGAGCTAAACAGCTTTCTTCTCGTTCTTCTGATGCTCCTGAAGAGCCAACTAAACTTGTTTCTGAACTTTCTACGGAAACAAATACAGATAACACTCTTAATAGTGGTAGAGTGGAACCTGGTAGTGTTATTGAGTCTGGTCAAGTGGATGAAAGTTCTGGTGGTTCTTCTGGTGGGAGTTCAGGTTCTAGTTCATCCAGTGCAGTTTCTCATCCTTCTCCTCCTACACATAATAATCCAACACCTGGTGGTCCTGAACCTGCTATTCCTACTCCTGCTTCTCCTGCTGATGGGAGTAGTGTGGCTGCTGCTGACGGTCAAACTGGAAACAGCGGAAACAACATAACAGGAGAAACTGCAGCTAACCAGAGAAATAAAGCAACACAACCTTCTTCTTCTTCTTCCAACAAACCTGATACAGGTAATGCTGGTGAATCTGAAACTACACTGACAGAGAACGGCACTGCATCTACAGAGAGGGAGTCCACAAACAACCAAGAAGGTGTTGAAAGTAATACAGATAACACTACCACATTAACAACACTTCCTCCTGAACTCACAAACAGCAAAAAGGGTGATGGAGACAGCAGCAGCAGTATCAGCAGTTCTGTGTGGGTGCGTGTACCACTACTGATTGTGGTTACACTGTCCTGTATTCTTCTGTGCTGATTGTAATAATGGTGGTAGTGGTGTGACTCAGATCATCCTTTGTTTTCTTTTCTTCTTTTTTTGCATGTATCCCTACAATCTAACTAATCTTTCACCTGTTGGGAGTTCTCTTTTTTTTGTTTCTTAATGTTAATCTGTTTTGTGTGTTTTTACTCTCTCTGTGTTTATCCTATAATAATTATTATTGCTACTCCATTGTGTGTGTGTGTTCTTGGAGACTCTCTCTCTGTGCGTGTGCACCTGGGCTTGCACTGTGATAATGATGATGAATTGCTTTTTGCAATGAGGAAAAAGGAAATAATAATAATAACAGATGAATTTTTATTCATAATTGCGTATATACACACATGTGGCCTTAAACCCATAGTTGTTATATTTCTATGTTTACTGGGTAAATTGGGCTAATAGTTAATATCTTTTGTTTGCTTATGGTTTGCTGGGGCATTCGATGCTTTACTGCCGGGGTCGATGATGATATGGATGTCCTATTGCTTCTACCTTTACTGAGTTAAATTTCTGTAGTGCTATGTTTCTGATTTTTTAGTTTGTACTATGTTGACGTTCGTCTGTGCTTCACTACTTGTACACGGTTGTGTTTTTCGATTCTATTTGTTTTTGTTAATTTGTCATGTTGTTTTTTTTTAGTTGAGAGTTTTCAAGCGAAACCCACTACCATTATTATGGCTATGAAGAAGATGATGGGTCACTTGCTGTGCTTACTGGCTCTCATACTGTACTGCTTCTGTGGATGCGTGATGGCTAGTCATCATAATATTAATCCTGGTGCTCCAGGTGTCCCTGGTGGAGCTGCATTTGCCGGAGGTGTTGCTGGTGGTCCTAATCCTTTAGATCCCCAACATGGTGGTTGGCCTCCTGTTGCTGGTGTCGGTAAACCTCCTTTTATTCCTCCTGGTCCCCACCAAATGCGTCAGCCTTCTTCTGTTATTCCTAATGGCGCTTGTCCTAATCCTGGTGTGCCTTGTCCTGGTGGTGTTCCTGGCGGAGTTGGTCCTGTTAGTGTTCCTGGTATGGTTGGTAATCCTGGTGCTAATGTTCTCTTTAATACGTTCAACGCGCCGTTACCTCCTCCACATAATCCTGGTCCTGCTGTTAAACCTGCTGTCCCTGGTCCTGCTGGTCCTGCCTTTTCTCACGCTTCTAATGATATGTCTCTTTCAACTCAACTTAATGGTGGTATTAGTCAGCCAGGAGTTGTTGTTGGTCAACGTGATATGCGTCCTGCAGCCAATACGATTGAGAATCGTCCTAACGTACCCAACAGTCTCACTAAAGCTCACAATGGTGTTTTGGAGGGTAACATGATGGATGGGAAGGAAAACGTGATGGAAAGAAAGACGAGTGTCACATTAGAAGGTCCAAATATTGTGAATGCGAGTAAACCGGAAACTCTCCAATCTCCTGTTTCTCCTGTAAAAGGTGTCAGTGGCAATCAGCCTAGTGAAGGCAACACACAGAAAAAGGAAACAGATTCTTCCGACAGTGAACACAAAGGTGAGTCAGGTGTGATTGGAGCTAAGGGTAATCAGGAACCGATAAAGGAAACCACACACGGTCCTCAACAACAAGATAACCACAATACAGAACCAAATGCCACAGGTACAACAAGTACTGACTCCCATGTCACTGCTGACTCAAAACCACATCCTACTAGAGATTCACAACAGCAATCCGCCGAAAGAACTCAATCTGGTCTATCTACTGATGATTCAAACACACCAAATAACACGAGCACAGAGCCCAAAAGTACCACTGATAATGTGTCGACGGCAGAGAATGAATCAACAAATGGTGTCGATACTGCCGTTGCATCAGCAGAAGGGAATACCACAGCGAACACGACCTCTGTCACTCTCAATACCAACAGTCACGAGGAATCAATCTCAACTTCACCTACAACCACCAATACAATTCCTACTATCCCTGGAATCAGCAATAACAACATAATGCCAAATGTAAAGGGTGATGCAGACAGCAGCAGCAGTATCAGCAGTTCTGTGTGGGTGCGTGTACCACTACTGATTGTGGTTACACTGGCCTGTATTCTTGTGTGCTGATTGTGATGGTGGTGATGGTGTGACTCAGGTCATCCTTTCTTTTCTTTTGTATACATCCCTACAGTCTAACTAATCTTTCCACCTGTTGGTAATTTCTCTTTTCTTTTTTTGTTTCTTAATGTTACTGTGTTTTGTGTGTTTTTGCTCTCTTTGTGTGTTTATCCTATAATAATTATTATTGCTACTCCATTGTGTGTGTGTGTTCTTGGAGACTCTCTCTCTGTGTGCACCTGGGCTTGCACTGTGATGATGATGATGAATTGCTTTTTGCAGTGAAAGGAAAAGGAAGTAATAATAACAGGTGAATTTATATTTATAATTGCGTATATAGACACATATAGACTTACACCCATAGTTGGTGTATTTGTGTGTTTACTGGATAAATTGGGCTAATGGTTAATATCTGTTTATTTGCTTGATGATTTTGCTGGCTCGTTGAGCATTTGTTATGAAGTTTGTGAGTGTGGGCTTTTTTTTGTTTTTACTCTTACTGAGGTTATTGCGCTGTATTGCATTCTTTAACTGGTAGGTTTTACTTTCACGATGTGAGTTTCCATAGTGGTAATCGATTTGTGTGTCGTAACATGTTTGATATTTCAATTACTTTCTTTTTTTTGCTTTTTGATTGTCTTTCTTTCTAGATCAGTGTTTTTACGTGCAACGAATCCTTGCCTCTCTTATGATGATGATGATGAGCCGTGTGATGTGTGTGTTGGCCGTTGTGCTGTGCTGCGCCTGCGGGTATACCATGGCGGCTGCTGCTGCTACTACTACTAATGGTGGACAACCAAAAGCGGAGATGGCTTTTTTTACTGATGTGATCGCCACTGAGGCTCGAATTGTGGGTTTCATACCAGTTGGAGATGATAATCGTCAGTCCTCAAATTTAGCCAAGCCAGGCGAAACAAATATTGTGGCCCAACATACTAGTGGTCAAGGAAACGATTCGTTGGGGCGTCAAGAAATTCCTGGCGGCTTTGGTTTTGAGAGTGTCAAAGGTTCTCGTTTAACTTCTGTGGATAGTGGAGAGGAAGGGAGGGAGAATCAGTTGAGGGAGAACGAAGTTGTGCTTCCTGGGCCTGAGGCAAAAGTAAAGGATGTTGGGAGGACCGGTGAGCCAGTGGATCAGACACAACAAGAACAAAATCAGCAACTTGGAGGGACTGGTGGAACAATGGCAGGACAAAGTGAGCAAAGAACAGTTGAGTTAGCACGTGGTCAGGATGGTGTGTCGGAGTCAGCTCACCAAAGTAATGCTATTTCTCATGCATCTGGTACTGCTGCTTCTGATAGTAACCTTCCCGGTGTTGGTACTAATTCTGGCCATTCTCCTGCTGCTGCTGTTTCTCCTGCACCTGCACTTGTACCTGCCGAGAGAACTGAGGCTGAGGCTGCAGGGGACAACCAAGCTGGAAGCAGCGGCAGCAGTGCAACTAACGCGGAAGGTGAAGCCAACCAAACCACTCCAGCTGCAAGTACAACAGAGAACAACAACTCTGTAAACAGGGACTCAAACAGTGTCAATTCACCTAATAATAAGGAATCGACCACCACCACCGCCACAACAACAACAACATTTCCTTCTGCCACCGCGGTCTCTGAAGGAAATGACGATGCTTCTGCAGCCACCACCACCAACATTAACACCGAAGCACCAACCACCACTTTATCATCTGTTCCTGTACCCAATGCAGAGATCAGCAACAGCATTGCTTCCACTGTACAGAACAAGGCCAATGCTGACAGCAGTGTCAGTTCTGTGTGGATGCGCACTGCAGCACCGCTGTTGATTGTTGCTGTGTTGTTCTCTGCTACCGTGTACTGAACAGTGGGACTCATCTGAGGAGAACTAATAATAATGGTTAAACTAACATCAACATAATTGCTTATATACCCCATGGGTGAATAAATTAATAATCTGTTTACCAGCTTTCTCTTTTAATTCGAATTTCTTTTCTTTTGCTTTTGTGTGTTGGTTGTTTTAATTCCATTACTTGCCTTTTCCGTTGTGTGAGTGGAGTAAACTGGGCTGTTCTGCTCATTGACGGCATCCTTTTTTTCTACGTGCACATGTTATGTACAACAATTTAATATATAAACTAGAGCTCTGGGGTATTGTGTGTGTTCGTGGAGGCTCTCTCTTATTTGGGTATTGTGGGGTGTTCTATTAATGGATATATATTATCATACAAGCGTGATATTTCTTTTTCTTGCTTTACTGTTTATTTGATGCTTTTCTCTTTATTTTTCACTATGAGTATTTTTGCCCAAAATGCACTGACTTAGTGTCTCTCTTTTCTCTCTACTTCTTCGTTTTTGTTTTCAACACTCCAAGCATTAGACCTTTTGAGTTCAAGTGACGAGAACAACAAGACGAAGAGTGATAATGGCCGTTATGATGATGATGATGATGATGATGCCCCGTGTGTCGTGTATTTTGGTTCTTTTATTTTGCTTTTCCTGCAGTCTAGTGTTGGCTGATGATCCTGAATCTGAAGAGAGCGTTGACCTCCCTCTGGGTGGTGGTGCTAAAGGAGGTGGTCAACCTGGTGTTCCGCTTGAGAAAACACAAGCAGAATTACAGAGACTGGGTTTACAAGAAACAATTGGTGATCCTACACATAGAGATGGTGAAAGAGAGACGGAGGATAAAGGTGATGGTCCTGAATTAGGAACAATGGCTGAAGAAGCAACTCCTCTGGGTGGTGGGGGTCAACGTACTCTTCAAACTGATCATCAAGCACCACAATCAGGAGGAGATAATCTCCATTCTTCTCAACCTCCATCTTCTAACTCAGTGCTAACTGGAGAAAATAACCGTGCGGATGCCTCTGCTTCATCTTCCTCCTCTTCTTCAACAGTTTCAGTAGGCAGAGTTGAACTTGAGAATGCAGAGAAAGGGGAAAAGGTAGAGAGCCCGCCAAGCAAGGAAACGAAACCAAACAGTGAATCGACAAATAACGATAGCGTCCAAGAACCACCTGCCAATCAAATAAATACAGTGAACTCTGACAGTACACACATCTCCCAAAACACGGTTCAGGAACAGTCACCTGAAATTTCACAGAGTTCTCAGGTGCAGAATGGTACAAACGATGCAGAGAGGAACAACACAGAACCCCAAGAGGCTCCGGTAAAAGAACCTTCTTCTGCATCTCCCACTACTTCAGCTACGGAGAATAACAGTGATACCAATAACTCAGCTAACACGAACACTGACTCTCCCAATACAAACAATAATGAGGAATCAACCACCACCACCACCACAACAACAACAACAACAACACTTCCTCCTGAACTCACAAACAACAAGAAGGGTGATGCAGACAGCAGCAGCAGTATCAGCAGTTC